GTGCCCGTGGCAAGGCACGCTGACGTGGTGCCACGCTGGAGGCCATATTAGCAATTTACGTGCCCATGATCGGACGGTCCAGATTTGTTCTCGCACTTATAAACGGTCCAGATCCATTCCCTCCTCAGGCACGATCAGACAATCGCGATTAAATGCGATGAACAGTTCAGATTCGTTCTCTCTTTAAATGCGATTATACGGTCTAAATCAAATCGCGATGAATGGTTCAGATTCATTTTCTATTTAAACGTGATCGGACGGTCCAGATCAAATATGATGGACGACTCAGATTAAAAGAAGACAGATATAAATATCTCACTTCACACCATACCCTAACCCTAGCCACAAGCCCCCCCTCCCCCTCGCTCGAGAATAAGAACCAGTCGTCGGGAATATAGCCCACTGCCGGCCGCCGCTGCACCGGAGCCACCTCTTACCGCCAAAAAAAGGTAAAAATTCTCTCAGTCGCTCAAAATTTGATTTTGAACACCCTCACGGCCAAATTGGAGCAAAACAACCAGTGGATGAGCCGAAAATTGCAGTAAAGCCCGGCGCCGCCGCCGTAAGAAAAATAAAAAATCACCTCCAATGAGGCCCTTCCTAATTCCTGTTTCGTACAATTTTTCCACCATTTTATTTTCCACAGGTTGACAGAAGAAAAACGCCCAAGTGCGAATGTGAGCTGGCAGAGCCGCCGCACCGAAAAACCCTGCCACCAGTAAGCTTATATTTTTTGACTTTTTTCAACCAACCGAGGCCCTTTAACGTATTTTCTCACAGGGATGAGTATAAAATTGTCTAAAATCAACCGAAACTGGACAAAAACAGCCAGCCCGAGGCAAACCACCGCTATCAAAATCTCAAAATTGGCCGAAAAGAGTTTCTAACACTGATTTTGAATTTTTTTTGGGTATTTCTAGGTACTTGGAGCTTGTTTTAATGTCCGAAGAAAAATTCAGAAAATCCAAAAACCGCTAGTAGGTGCAGATAAAAGCTTAGCATTTCGGATATCGATTCGAGTAAGAATCCCTCACCTTATTCTCTATTATGGAATTGAAGTTTAATTATAGATAATGCGATATTTTGCGTAATTTATAAAATATCCATAATTAATTACAAGTTATTAATGGAGCTGGAACCAGTTACTTATTACTGTTTGTAATGTTTTAGTTGATTGTTTGATTCTATAGTTTCGAATGCATGATAATACACTGGAATTGGTAAGATGATTCGGTTGTATTTTCTTGATGCAAGTATTGCTTGTTTTGTGTTATTACAGTTAAATTGTGAATCTAGAAATTAAATATAAACAAAAATTAAATTGATTAAGTAAATGAATGAATGGTAGCATTACTGGATATCCTGAGATATGGTGGATGGACCGAGTGTATAGAAAACCCTACCGTGAATGTTGCCTCATACCGGACGGGGTATCGAGAATTGGTATTTTGGGCTCATACTAGACGGGGTATGGGGACAAGTCGTTTCACCCTTATACTGGACGTAGTATTGAATGATGGTATTTTGGCACTCATACCGGACGGGGTATGAGAATGATCAATTAGCGAAAAATATTGAATAAAGGTTCACGCATAATGGAGACATCTCTATGCACCCTCATGGATACCAGTAGACAAATAAAAGAGAAAATTGTTGTTCCGAATGTTTAAATATGAGATTATGATATTGGTTGTGTTATTGCATCTATAAGTCAGTTCTGGAGATTTCACTACGGTAAGTGTACAATAAATGATTTTATTTATGATAAATGAATTTACTTAAATTAAGAGCTACATTAGTTATTCTTATGATTTTAACCAACCTTCATTTCTGTATTGGTGAGTAGAATGACATTCTTACTGGGTTAGTGTAGCTCACTCTTTTATTAACCATTTTAGATTAAGATGATCAAGATTCATAACTTGATCCACAAGAGGGTTGTGAATAGGATGTTCAATTATTTACTTTTCCATTTATTTCTTTGATTTTTCATTATTTTTTTAGAATGATCATTCTCATAACCTTATTGGATGTTCTGAATTATTGTGTAAAGAATATAAACTCTAACACTATTATTTCGCTTCAGCATTCAAATTTATAATTTATTCACTTTTAAGTTTCGGTTCGTTATATTAGAAGCTAGCATGTACTTATCATTATCTATATGATAATATCTTTAACATAGAGATTAAAAAAAATTTAAAAAAATAAAAATTAGTCATAATGGTAATGAAAAAAAAAATTTAGTAGAATATAATATATATTTTAATCTTATATTAGGCAAGAGTTTAAACTTATATAAAAATTTAAATAATCGTTAGATAAAAACCTACTTGTTTATAAGCAAAAATTGACAATGACACATGGCTTCTAGAGAGATTTTCTCTTCTTGAATGACTAGTTAAGGAAAGTGTGTATTTCCATATTATTCTTCTTAATATTACATTGTAACATACATTCATTGAATAAGTTTTTAGTTCATTAAAACTATATTACATTTAATTTAACCAAAGTTTGAGCCTATGTAATCAATCTAGATTCTTATTGATTAAGCCTAGACTAGTACAGTCTTATATTCAAAATATAAACCACTACTTTTGAAATTTTTTATCAACTCTATGATAGCAAAAAATCATTTAGAAAACTTGACCCAAGTAAAAAAAAACTACTACCATCCAACTTTAAATAATTTGCTAATGCAACTTCAAACTTACAAATAAAAAAAATAATGTTATAAAAAGTATAGAACATGAAAATGTTGAAATATATTTTAAAAATAATACGCTAATTTATTTTAGAAAAAGAGTATGGTGCTTTCTCTATAATTGCATTAGTTAAGTTATATAACAAATTAATAAAATGTGCGAGTTAATGTACCATACTTGAAAATTTTTAAAATCATCTCCAATAAACTTTTTCACTAATAAAAATTTTAGATTGTATATGCTCTGAATTATTAGTTAATATAAATTTTAGAGATGCAGCTTGAATTAAAATTAAAAATTTATGCCAAAGAAAAAACATTTATATGTGTGTAAGTACAAAGGTTTTTTTTTTCCAATAAAAGAGAAGAAAATAATAAAGGTTTTATTTTTATTTTTAGTTTATTTTTTGAGCAGAGGAAATAATTAAAGGATTATCTTCAGCGTTATGTTGGGTTAGGACCTTGTGCAGAGAATTAGGAAAGAGAAGGAAGATGGATAACATAACAGCGAGTGAAATTGCAGGGTTTGGGGTGGGAACCCTCCTTCTATGTGCTACCATTGCTGCCCCAAAAGTAGATTCTCTCATTTCTGCTTCACAAAGGAGGTAAACGAAAGTTTCTGCACTTTTTTTTTTTTACCTTCTTCTCTTCTCAATTCATTCTTCAACCTTCCATGTGAAACGAAAGCGATTGGTCCAACTATGTGTTTGAATTTCAATGGGTAACAGTTGTTTTTGTTACCATTTTTTATTCAAATGCTCTTCTTTTGTTCTTTTATAAAATTTCTCTTTTTTCTAGGTAGGCTTTTGGCACTCAAAGGAACTTTTTGCTGTTTTTTTTTTTGTATTTGTTTTATTGAGTTTAAGAAAATGAAAAGATATTAATCCTGGGTTTTTTCAGTGTAAATCAGTTCATTTCAAATATTGAAAGAAGGACAATAATTAGTCTGTGAAAGAGCCTGAGAAGAAACCCTTCCTCCACAAGTGGAAAAAAGAAGGTGGTGACTATCATATTTAACCAGTCATAGAATTTACAGATATTTTAGAGATTGCAAATTTGGTAAATTTATGAGTAATTGTTTCATGTGGTTCAGGCAATCCCTAAAATATCTGATGGAAAAGTTGGATCTTTTGAATATATCTATATTATATACATATATATCTGCCTTGCAGTTTATTTTTTGTTACTCAAAAACTGGATGGATGAGGAGCTGTGTCAGGTAGCATTTGCTAAAGGATTGGGCAGCATACAATTATCCAACTTTATGTTTGGTGCTCTAAAATATTAGATCAAATGATTCTCTTATGATGTAATTTTAGGACGAACTTTGCATAATAGAAAAAATTCTTTCCTAAGAGTAACCTTCTCCCTCTCACCGCTTACCTGGTCAATTTTCATAATGTAGCCGTAAGCATGGGCTGCAAAATGACCTGACTCAAGGCGTAGTGACTGCCTCACTTTAGTGGTTCAGCATCCAAAGAAGACTTAGCTTGGTGCTTGGCATTTAGCCTGAGAATGAACAATTGAAGGCATGGTCTCTAGGCTACGTATGATTCATTGTAAATCAATAGTCTGATATTCGAGCAAGATCTGACTTAGAACATAGTCTTAGACTTGAAAACAACTTGACACAACTTGACCAATGACATAGTTTTGAACTTAGGCACAAGCAACCTGATCCACTCTCCTGAGCTCAAGGATGAACTGATTGAAATGCATTGCCCAGTTTGGGGCATAACCTGACACAAAGGGTTGTCCTAGGCCATGGCATAACTCGACTTAGAGCATGGACTTGAACTCAGGCATGACCTAATCATATTCATGGTATAGTCTCGAACTCAAATCTAACATAGACCAGAGCGTGATCCTAAACTTGGATATGATCTTGAATCTGAGTATGAATCAACCTCATGCTGTAGTTCCTGACTTAGGGTACAATCCTGAACATGTCCTAAATACATGCCCAATTCTGACCTTAACCATGCGTTGAACTAGAGCACAACCCCAAGAAAAAGTTAATTTAGTATGTCCTAAGGCAGAGCGTGAACCGTCCTTGTTGTAGAATAAATTAGAGATTAGTCTTCCTACTTAAAGTTTAGGGTTTAAATATAAGAGTCCTTAAATATCACACCTAAAAGTGGAATTTATGTTTTGATTGGTAGGAAGATTATTAGAAAAGTAACTAGGAATACATTTTAGGGTCCCTTGAGCATTACATCCAGTTGAGGTTTTGACAGCATAACACAATCATGCGGAATAAGTTTGTTTAGAAGTTCCTCTGAGAATGAATATTGGTTTTCTCGTAATTGAGATATGGAGGTACTTATCAGCCGCTTAATTTAGTTCTAATTTAAATATGACTGGTATAGAAGGAAAATATTTCAAGCATAAACAAAATCCTAATACTTCTAGTCAAGCACCTTTTCCGAGGGCGTCCTGTGTCCAGCAACTTTGGCGCTTGGCTTATATCCTGTTAGGGGTGATATAGGTTGTGGTTGGATTGGGCAAAGAGAAGATGTGGGTATGGAGAGGCATTAGGGGGGAGATAAGCGGCTATAGTAAACAATTAGGCCATGTCCCTTTAGCTACCTTATGACTCATATGGAAAGAGAAAAATAGGAGAGGTTTTGAGGGTATAGGACTCTCTTTTATAGAGCTGAGGATATTTGGCTCCAAATCCTTGTTTTTTTTTGTATTAAGGGTCATTGTTTTATACTTGTAAAGACTTAGGGGACCTGATTGATGTCTTGTCAGATTTATAAGTATTTTTTAATACAGGCTACGCTACTTTGGTGCTCATTAATACTATACTTTGTTTTTTTTTTTAACAAAAATCGTAATACTTCTAAACTACCGGCCTTATCCATACTACTAAATAAGTTGTAGAATACTAAGAAATACAATTTCTAATCTAATTAGAAAATCTAAGTGACCTAATTTCCTTCACATCATATTCCCTTGTTTGGAGAAAGGCTGAACTCAAGTTTTAAGGTGCCAAAGTATCAAAAAACAAATTCTTAGGGCATCTCAAAAATTTCAGGCATACTACATAAATCATTACCAATTGTGAAAGTAGTGGAGAAACACAATTGAGAAGAATTTGAAACCTGGTATATATGAGGAAGCCAATGAATTGACAAATTGAGGTGTCAACTTTCCCCCTTCGTGGAACTTTTTTCTATCGGTGCCTTAAGTCTTCTTTGGACTGAACAACTACAGATCCTTCTTACGATGAAAGTTTATGAGTAATCCCAAAATCTTTACTATTATGTATTACTTTTGGTGGTTATTCCTCTTGCTTTTCCACTCAATCTTTAAAACTTGCAGCCTTCATCTTCATAAGATTATGAGATTCAGAGTTGTACAACTGGAAGGTCTTTGACAACCTTAGCAATATTCCTATCACCTTAGGAAGTATTCTCAAATCCCTCCATCAATTTTAGAAGAGCATTGTAAAGTTCCTTCTTAAAGCATTGACCAAGTTTTCAAGTGTCTTAACCTCATAAGAAGCATTTTCATTCTGCTCCTCAAGGTAGGTGCCCTTGCTGAAGAGTCTTTACTATTTCATTTAATTCAGTATTGATTTTCATTATGTAAGCCTCAATCTGATTACGTGGTCTGCAAACAAAAAGATGATGGGAAAATGCCTGGAAACCTGTCAAAATTGGTGAAGATCCTTTTGGGAGGGGCCCAAACTAGTCTAGGTGAACCACTTTGGTCAAAACAGGATGAACTAAGACCTTGCTGATTAGCTTTGTAACATTTTTAGATGAGATAATACCTGACATATGAGCTTATGCAGGAAAAATAAGTTAAGGCCTAATAATGTGGTTTATTGATTAGTTGAAGTGGATACAGATTGTAACAAAAAAGTTGGCCAAGATTGGGTATCTATTGTTTTCGAAGTACCATTGCAGAATCTGGTAGCGATTTACATATCAAACACATTATCTCTTTTTCCCGTATATTGTTAAGGGATTTTTAGATGCTAGGGTTATGACAAATTATTTTTTTTTTATTGATTTTTTTCCCAGTGCAACTCTATCATAAAGTTGAAATATTGTAAACATACTTTTGAAACACGAAATGCTTCAGTTTTTCTTTTTTTTTTTCTTTAATTAATTGGAAGTCAAATTCTAAGATTCAATAGTGAAGATTGAATAAAAGCCCCATGAGGACAAATTTTGCTTTATGGGTTGTAGAGTTGATTTTTCTATTATGCTAGACATGGCCTGGTGACTGTATTGAACTATCTTCATCAGAGTCTTTCAGGATCCTTAGTCTGGGATTTCCTGCTACTGATGTAGGTAAAATAGTAGTAAATTGTTACTCCTATCGTTTTAATGTTTGGTACTCTCTTGTGATGTTCGTGTGGAAAAATAGAAAATTGTGTTTATTATTGCATGAGGAGGCCCTGTATATACAAATTCTCAGAGTAATCAAAGCAAACCTACAATTAATTACATATATGAACATTTTATTAATATATCTTTTATCCTAATTATACAAAGATACACTTTCCAACATGGTATACGCTTCCCAGCACTGCCCTTCAAGCTAGTAAATGGATATTGTCTATTCCCAACTTGATAATTATTGTATGAAATCCAAGATTACTCAATCCTTTATTCAACACATCAGTGAGTTGTGAAGTGGTGGACATGTATAGCATACATAATCATACCACTATCCAGTTTCTCATTGATAAAGTGTCTGTCCATTTTAATATACTTGGTTCTGTCATGTTGTACTAGATTGTGTGCGATACTCATTGTTGATTTATTGTCGCAGTAGACTTTCATAAGCTCATCCCATTCAGTTTTCAAATCTTCTAGGATCATTTTCAGCTATAGGAGTTCACCCACTCTCAAAGCCATAGCCAGAAATTCTGGCTCTGCACTAGGCTAGGCTACTACATTCTCTTTCTTGCTTCTCCAGTGACTGCGGTTCTAAGATCACCCCCTTCTACTCTCCTCCTTCTACTCTCCTCTGCAACCGCAATTGAGATAACCTCATTTAGATATGACAAAACTTCTTTGCCTAAGAGTCCAACTCTTACCTGATGAAATTCTTGATTGAAATCATGAATTGGTATATGTGATCCTTCTCTACAAATTGCTTCAAGCAGGCTGCATTATTGTTGTAGTCCATAGTAAGGCAGTGACACTGTTCTAACTCCTGCTACTATTTTTTGATATATTAGAATACTCAATCAGTGACCTGTTTTCTTATATTGTAGACCATGTTTTGATGATCAGGTCTTGAATCTGGGTAGTATGTTTAACTCTTGAATAGGTTTCTCGAACTGCTTCTCACACTTCTTTAGAGGTGGGAAGAAACATGGAAGTGTTGCTTATTTTGGTGACATTAAGTTCCAGAGTCAAATCATGATCCTAGAGTTTTCTTCATCCTATGCATCAAATTTTGCTCTCCTGGTTGAGGTCCTGGTACCCAGAATGTGACTGAGCTTCCCTTTTCCCTTGAGGATTGTTTGAATCAATCGTGACCAATTCAAATATTTTTTTTCCGTTTAGGTAATAAGTTATCTGAGTTGGTTGAAATTCTCCATTGGCTTGCAATGAATTTCTCATGTAGGGATTTGCACCAGAAACTTGAGATCTAATCTCCAACATTATTCAAAATCTTAGGGGCATTTAAAGTCGATTAAATAAGTCAAAAGAAAGAGATTACCAGGCTAAATTTGTGGCTAGATAGAATTAGCAGCTACTGGAGGTATGCACGCAACTGCAGGTAGACAGTTGGAGGTAGGCGCATGGCTGGGATGTCGGGCTGGATTGGTGGAGGCATAGCGGCTGGAGGCAGGTGTGTGGCTGTCCGGTTGGAAGAGGTTTGTTGTGCATGTGACTTTCCTATTGGAAGTGCTGGTCACTCTGCTTTCCAGCTAAAAGGGCTTGGTCATGCAGCTTGCTATGAGACACCTCTGCTGGCGTGCATCCACTGATGGCAGTGGCTTGTCTTCCTTTAGTGGCTGGCTTGTAAGCTGCCAGTGGTGATGGTGGTGCTCGGCTATGAAGGCTAGCCCTTTGTTTAGGATTTTTTTTTTTTTTTTGTGTTTTTCTTATTTTGGTAATGAAGACCAATTAGAGTTTATAAAAGAGTTAAGGTATTCCTAAAGCTTTGACACTATATGGAAGAATAGAATCTTGTGTCCGAATTTGAGTCTAATTGAAGGTAGACATTTCTTGTTAGGGTTGGTCAAGTTGCTCTGATTGTTGTTAATAATATGACCATAGTAACCAGAGTTTGAACTGACTCTCAATAAGAGATTTGTGCCTCCAAGATTTTGTTCCACAAAAACCAACTCAGTTGAAGGAAGGCATGGCCTTTACTTTTTGATATATGGAGTAGCAATTAAGTATTCTGAAAGAAAAAAAACTCTCTTTGAGTTGCTCAGAATTTTCCTTGTTTGAAGGACGAGGGAGACATAAGTATTTGGTCTAGATGGAGGCCGCTGAGCCTTTCCTTTTTATTTCTCCCTATCCTCTTCCCTTCTATTTGGTTCAAGTAATTATAACTCTTCCTTCAGTTATTTCATTAATCAAAATTATGGAACTCTGCATACATTAAAAAATCTCAAGAGCAACCTAATTTTGTTAGTCAATGCATGCAGTACCTATTTTTGTTAGTCGATGCATGAAGTGAACACATTGCTAGACATGTTTGTTGAACGCCTACATCTCTAGCCGCAGTGTCAAGGATGATGCCATTCCACAATAATGTTAGAGAACTTCTAATAATTAGTCTGAACCTTCAGTGGGAGAAGGCTGTTGCCAGTAGCTAGAAGTTCGCATCTAATTGTTTCACATTTTAAAATTTTTTGATATATGCCTGCACCTGCATATTTCTGTGCTGAAATATGCAACGCTTTCAAATGCAGTTCTCTGGGAATGTGCAAGAGATGTGGCGATCTTAGGATGATTGCCTGCTCAAGATGTAAAGGCAGAGGATCACTCAAATCAAGTGGGCCATTCAGTTTTAACCTCATAGATGACTTGTCTCAGTCATTTGGTGGTGGTGAGCCCAAGGTGAAATTAGTTGCTTGCACAAAATGTAAAGCCAAAGGTCAGTTCTGCTGCCCAGAATGCTCCGAGTATGCTCCGAGTTAAATCTCTTTTTAAGTCTTGTAAAAAATATTATCATCCTTCCTGATCCCCACTACTGAAGTGGATGAATATTGCAGTCTCCACTTTGAACAAGTGACAATCATCCACTCTGTTCCCATGGGAACCAGCACTCAAATCATCAGATTGTGATATGTCATATTATTGTATATTTTTTATATATATATATATATCCATTTTCCTGTCTTTGTAACAAAATAATCCAAGTCTGATTAGTTATTAAATTCCAAATAAATAGTCTAAATCCCGTGTTCATTAAGTTAATGAAACAACTTGGATTTACCATACATTCAATTCCAGGAACTTGCCATGGATTTTATGGGATTGCAGAATAATAAAATTTGCTAAAATATTTACTTGAGAAGTCCTGTGCCCTTTTCCCATTCTGTTGAGATGAGAGCAATATTGCTCGTAGCTTTGTCATTCTACAGCGTATTGCGAGCATATACAACTCTAGGAGCCTCTTTAATAAGGCAAAAGTTATGTTGACTTTCTTTAACATTTTCCTATTTCTTGATTACTGACACTTCAAAGCTTTATCTCCTTTGGTGGCAAGCGTGCATGTGCATAATTTAGAATGGTTTGTATTGTGGCTGCGTATTATAGATTTGTTGAAAGAGCTATGTTGGGTGGCAAATTCCAACATGCTTAAAGGGCATTAGAGAGAAAAATTACCAAAGAATTATTTATTTAGTTTTAACGGTCTTGATTAAGTTTCATCAAATCTAAAGGTATAGGGTTCTTGGAGCACCATGTGGTTATAATATTCATATTACTTGTAAAAATTTTACAATTATTTAGTAATAGAATATCTAGTAATTTTATATGCAGAAATTAATAATTTGAGTTTTAACGTTAAAAACTATGTTCATGCGGGTTTTTTAATATGCAGGTATAAGTTTTAAGTTGAATTATATTTTTTTAATTTTTTTTATTAAAAATAATATTTAATTAATAAAATGTATAAATATAAATTAAAAAAAAAAAAAAAAAATTAAATAATGCAATATCACTTCCACCAACTGTTTAAATATAAAGTTTTTATTTATTTATTTTTCTTTTGTGTGAGATGGTCAATTGCGTATATGCCTAAAAATTTTAATTACATAGTTGGAATGTAAACGTGCTTTTAGGCACAGGAAGCGTGCCACCTTTTTTTTTCTTAGTGTGTTAAACATAGTTATAACTTTTGTCTCAATATATCATATACTTTATGTTTGATTACCTACTAGTGAAAATTCTTTTCTACACCAACAAATTTTCCCCCACTCAGTTTTATCTTATTTACTTTTCACTGTAATTTATTTATTTTTTTTTTCAATTACAGTGTTGCTTAGTTTTAGGTACTAGGTAGTTCAATTTCCGGTTCCATATTTAATAAAAATTACTATATTTGAAATAAATTAATCATTTTCATGAAAATTATGCACAAAACTCATAGTTGATTTAATTATGAGAATATGAGAGTCCTGTGAAAAAGTGAAAATTGATCTCTAAATCTTTAGATCGAGTAAACTAATTTTTTTATGAATTTCATTTGTAAATATACACTTATGTTAGTTAAAAAAAATTAAATTTCTACTAAAAATAATGCAAAGTAGTGAACTTATATAGATTTTTATATAAATTAAAATAGCAATTACACCAAAGTTGGATGGAATTTAAAATTTTTTGTTTTAAATCCGTGGTTCATTTTTATAACATGAAGTTTACAAATTTGTTTTTTTTTTTTTCTGCCACTCGTATTCCATATTATAGAATTCCATTTGTATTCAAATGGTTTAGATTATGTAAAAAAATCTCTGGGTATAAATCTTGATATGCTTAAGGTTTGAAACCTTTTAACTCTAAAGAATCTCGCTCTTAGTCCTAAAAGTTAGAATTAAATCTATGAATAATTATTTTCTCATATAAATGTTTTATTAGAGGTGTATTGTGATATAATTAATCTTCATCAATTGATTTTAATACGATAATTTAAAATTTAATATAGATTGGTCCAATACATTAATGCGATACACAAAATAAACATATAATAACTTTATTTTATTATTAGTTTTATTATTTTTATGATATTATATTATTTATAAAATTTAATCCCCCACCAGAAATAGTTAAATTAAACTCAACAATTGTAAAAACAACTACACACATACTTTGTAGAACCAATTGAACTTGCAGTACATTCTGCAGCTCCATTGTATTGCTTTAAGCATTGTGCTCCGCAGCTTGAAATGTCACACTTGTTAGGATCTAATACCTTCACACATTTCTTCGGTCCTCTAGTACATTTCTTCTGTCCTTTAACTAAAGGAACAACTAGAAGAGCTGCAATTAATTTACAGAGACGATATCAATTACTTTTTTATATATAACAATATCTAATTGTACATTAATTTCAAAAAAGAAAATACAAATGGCATCAAGCTTATGTACGTAATTTATTAAATATGAAAAAATTAGGCGTGAACTACTTTATGAAATTTCTTATACTTGAATATTAATTAGAATCTATGTGAGATAAATATAACATTAAGTTATCATTTATATTTTAAAAACATACCAATACTTGTAATTGTACTGCAAAAATATATTAGACAAACCTGAGAAAAGAATTATAAGAACCAAGAATTGGGCGTAAGGTTGTTTTGCCATGCTTTGAACACCTTAATTTATATTGAGTACTTCTCTTAGTAGTATTTTAAAGGAGAACTGTGTTGTGAAAACTTAATGAGTAAGGAGAAGATGTTGCCTCAAAATTTATAGAATGACATAGACTATTCATATATGTCAAGAAACATAAACATGGAAACAAAATCCATTCTCTAGATTTGGATGAAATTCATGATCCTTTTGGGATTTCTTTGATCTTCTCTAGATTTATGTGAAATTCATAATCTTTTTAGATTTTTTTGTCTTCTTTTTATAAATTATTTGCTAATTATATTTTTATTATCCATTTATAAGGAAATATATTATAACAGCCCGAACCTCAATGTCAGTGGTTATGTACGTTAACACAATATTTTTAACTAGCAGAACATATAAATATTAAATATGCAACGGAACTACACTTTAATACACATTTCTTATGACATGATAATTATTTGTTTACAAATAATTAAAACATCTAAATTAATTTATAAATCTAAAATAGAAACTAACAAGGTTTTCTTCACCATCTTCTATTGATATTGGACTTGTTTCTCTTCTCCTCTGACCTGGATGGGAGTAAATTGGGATGAACTTCACGAGTTCAGTAAGAAAAAAGATTCTATAACGGAGATTTACATACATACATTCACGCAATATATAATATATAATAATTTTTATCATTAAAAAAAATGTCAAACAAACATCACAATCAAAATGCATAACAAACAAATTATTACACAAAATATATTCTAATCCTCACTCTTATAACTTAATTCTTGTTCTCTTTTCAAATCACACTCACACTCGAAATATCACAATACATTCAGAATACCACATCTAAGCTTTTATCGCACGATACCATTTATATCGTCATTGAGGAGAGGCAAAATGGATTCCCCCATCGCATGAATAGCACACGCACATAAATTTCACAATGGGCACAGTATGTACGTTTGTTAGGTGACCTACGCTCATAAATGTCTATCCACGTCTGGACTAGACTTTAAACTCTATTTATGTGCAGGTTCACCATACCCGCTGAACTTCAGCTACACACGCACCATTCCCTCCACGATTCAGACTAAACGAGTAGGTATCTAGGGTTCTTACACTTTACACTCTTTTCAAATGTCTCTTATTCCTATTCACTTATTTCCTATATAAGATCTTAATTTTTATACATAATTAAACACAAAGATATGCACATAAAATATATGATATCATCACGCACATCAAAACTATATATTTTAAAATATTTTCTAAATCATCTTGTACCAGATAACACAGCAAGTACAAGATACTTATATTTCTCGCGCAACTGTAGCAGATCATACAATAAGTATAGTGCATCGTGCATTTACACTAGATAACACAGTCTGTGTAATGTACTCAATTTCACACGTACACACACTAGTTATACATTTCACATGTATAATATATGTACACACATTTTAATAGATACACATATATTATAATACAAACATGTACCATCATTACATGTCTTACACATAATATATATTTATATTCACACACACATACAATCTCTACCGATATATACACACACATTCATACTTAAACACGTATACACAATCACATATAATATACCAGATATATATATTCATGCATTTGTTCTTGTTAGTTATGTTCTTATCAATTCATATCTTATTCATCGTATATTTTCATATATATACACACACACATGCGTAATAACGTGTAGATCTATACACTATATAAACACACACAAATACAAATTAGGTATACTAATTATATTCATATTATATTACATATACATTTAAACATTCACACATAATGCACTATAGATGTACAAATTTACATAAATATATAATTCATGTCTCCGTATGGAATACACATAATTCTTACCTATGGTATGGTCAAAAAAGTTTTGAGAATCATTTCTACCTCGATCTACGGTCCTCTTGGAAATCTGAATACTGTTTGGATAGTTTTCCTCACTTATAATAAAAAACACATATATTAAATTAGAAATAATTCTAGAAATTATATTACGTGAAATTAAAAATGGATTTTACCTTCAAACTCGTGGACTGGTCACTAGCGCCACCACGCATCATCATAGGTGTGTCACTGAAAATGTCAGGCGTTGATGATCGAATAAGCACGTTTGTCACACGCGGCGCACCAACATCATATTTGGTCGCCACCCCTCCATTTTTCTTCCTTAATTAAATTTTTTCTTCTTTTTTTTTTCTTTTTTTTCCTTCCTTTTTTTTTTCTTTTATTTCATCAGTTTTTTTCTTTATTTTTTTCTCTTTTTTTTTCTTTTTTTTTCTTTTTTTTTTCCCTTTTCTCTTCTTTCTCTTTTTTTCTCTTTTTTTTTCTTTTTTTTTCTTTTTTTTTTCCTTTTCTCTTCTTTCTCTTTTTTTCTCTTTTTTTTCCTTCCTTTTTTCCTTTTTTTTCTATTTCTTTTCTTTCTTTTTTTTTCTTCTTCATTCATCTTCCCCATGGCCTTTCCCTTTCCTCTTCTTTTTTTTCCTTCTTCTTCTTCTCTCCCATTTTTTTTCATTTCTTCTCTCTCTCTCTCTCTCTCTCTCTCT